CGGCCTCCATCTTATCTCTTCTCACTGGCTTATTTCTGCAAACATAATCTAAAATTAAATCCACTGAAACAATAAAAACTCACGCGCGAAGTTGAATGGGAACGGTAGTTCTCGAGCACCCCAGTTGGGAAGAACAGACAAACATAAAGTTTGTTTTTTCTTTCTTCAAACTAAATTACTGTCACGGTTAGTTTTTCTTTTTTTAGTTTGTTGTCGTCGTCGGAGGTCATTGGGAACTTGCACACAGAATGATGAGTAGACGGAAAGAGCTAACAGTTTCAGAGCGGAAGGAGAGTTGGGTGTCATTGGGGAAAATGTCTCTACATGCTATTGCGCAACAATTAAACATTCCTAGGTCGACAATTGGCAACTTACTGAAGAAATGAAAATCAACAGGTGACAATGAGTCCAAGAAACGACCAGGTAGGCGTAAAATACTGACTGACGGGAGTCGACACGCCTTTAGAAGGCTGGTTATCTCATCTCACCGTCAGATCCTAGAAAATCTGTGTTTGGAGATGCGAGCAGCCGTAGGCAATCCTATAAGTGTTTCCACGACACTTCGAGAGCTGCATGCCATGAATTTTCACGGAAAAGCTGCAGTCCACAAGCCGTTGATAACAAAAACAAATGCAAACCGTCGATTGGCATGGGGCAAGGTACACCAAACCTGGACTGTGAATCAGTTGAAATCGGTCATGCTACATGCTCTTCCAGTGTGATGGACGTGTTTGGGTATGGAGGATGCTTGGAGAATGCTTATTACCTGAGTGTGTTGTCTCACCAGTGAAGTTTTGAGGCGGCGGTATTATGATCTGGGAGGGGGGTGTGCTTTTCGTTGTATGGACTAGGTCCTCTGGTCGCAATCCATGGATCCATGAATGCTGAGTCCTACATTGATGTTCTGAACAAATCTATGTGTCATACACTAGCAATTTTATGGTACCGGCCCTTACATCTTCCAACATGATAACGCTCAATGTTACAAAGAAAGGATTGTGAACACGTGGTTTGAACATTGGAACATTGCAGTGGGCAACACAGAGCCCCTGATCTCAACCCAATAGAACAGCTTTTGGACGAACTGTAACCAGAATTAGAGCAAGGCCAGGACAGTCCTATTCAGTAGTGGAGCCTACTAATGCTTTATAGGATAAGTAAAGCACAATACCACCAGATTTATACCAGAAACTAGTAGACAATCTTCCACGACGCATTGAAACAGTCATTAAGGCCAAAGGCGGCCCAACACGCTATTAATTTCTTGGAATAAAGACATGTTTTATTCATAACTACCCATGTCCCATGACTTTTGGTAGGATAGTGTATTTTCGTATTATCACATCTCATTGTATGGTATTCTTCTGTTACATGATGGATACTGCTGATAGATCGGTATTACAGATTTTTGCATATCTATTATGCTTATGAACTCTGAATTCTGTTAGAGAAGCCCCCCAGTGGCACAGTGGTATGTCTGTGGACTCTCAACGCTAGAAGCCTGGTTTCGATACCCGTGGTGAGTAGAGTACAGATAGCTTATTGTGTAGCTTTGTGCTTAACTTGAAACAAACAGAGTGTTGGAGAAACCCTCAAGTATATAGCACATCAGTCTTCCTAACATGAAGGCTCAGGATCGAATACCGGTCGCTTTCAACAAGCACAGTTCTTCTTAGTACTTTCCTGAAAACTGCAGCAAACTAGAAACCGAAACGTAGAATACAAATTAGTTATTAGTGTTTAGTAATACTAAAGAGATAAAATGAATAATTAGATTAACCATAACAATGACTGATAACCACAACCTTACCGTAAGTACTTAATGGTACAGATTAGAGGAGGAACACAACATCACTCTTCTGGTTTCATACTATAATATACTGTACACGTATACTGTAACAGCTGTTATCTTTCCTACGGTAAAACTCCATTGAAAAATCATAACCTATCAGTGCTACAGAGAACCTTATAGATAAGCTTTCTAAATGAACTTAACAAAAAGTTGAAGCCCATAAAAAACATTAGATTCAAGTCAATAAAAAAAAAATATATTGTTTTTCTAATATTTCTCACTTACAAGTACTGGTGCACGTGATTAAAATTTTAATCTGCTAAACATGGATTGTAGAATAGGGAGGTTACATATTTTTTCTCCTGATGAGAGTGCCTTTATCTACAGATTTGTGACCATGAAAGTATAAGTCAGAGTTTGTCTTAGATTCTGCAAGGGGGAACATAGTATGCAAAAAGGGCTTATCCATAACTTATATCTTCAGTCTTGCACAATGGGAAACAAAATTGTGAAAATTTTAAGGCAAACAGTAATATATAATATGTAAAATCTTTGGATTATCTATTAAAGACTTCATTAAATAAAGTTCATTAAGCTTCAAAATAAATGCATTTAATGGGATATTATTTTATGCAAAGCTTTAAGAAACAAAATATGCAAACCATTCTAATATTGTATGATATCAGTTCTGATTCAGAGCTAGAACTTTCTACCAGTTTGTTTTAGAGCAAGGCCACATTTGGCTGTCTGCTGTGTTCACCATGAGGAATCAAACTCTGGATTTTAGCATTGTACATCCATAGGCTTAGAACTGTCCCATCGGGGAACACCAGTTTTGGAGGAACATAGTTGACTATTGCATTTTTCTCTCATTTGACCAAACCTTCACCCCCACAGCTACATCCTATCACTGTCTTTTTTAAAGACTGTGAACAAAAAAAATAAAAAAAATTAGAAGTATCTCTTTCCAGATTGGAAAGAATTTTTCAGTAGATAACCATGAATTTAAACAAATTTTTAGTAAATAACGATGAATAAAATAAAGTTCTTCAGAAGATAACCATGAATGAAATCAAATTCTGCCATATTCTTAGTCCCTCTACAGCATTTTATAATACAGATGAGCTAGTAAGGTCAAGTGAAGAAGCTTGTCCAGTTATTGCTAAGAGTTCATCATGAATGTGCAAAAAGCATTAGTTTTAACAACCAAAATTATCAGTAAAAGTTTCCTTACACCAGAATTGATTAAAATTGCAACTGAACTTATAGATTTAATAAAAATGCTTTGATTTAGTCTGTCCATTAACCTTTACTTCATCATCTAATAAAAACATGGTCACCTTCTCGATGGATGATAAATTCAGTGTACTCTTCTAATGTTTTTGTGTGTCAAAAGACCCCTCTAATCCTGTATTTTATTCCCCTTTCACTACATAAAATAAAACTTAAAGTTATTTAGTATTAGTTTTAAAAAGAGAAGACAAGTTTCTCTATACTTAAAAAAAATGTCACTAAAAATATTTGTATATCATCACATTAAACTAATAAAATAAAATTGTTCAATTGATTATTTAGATTAACTAGAAGTTGATATCTTGAAAGTCCTGACCACAAAGTAATGCTATCAAGCAGCCACATCTTAAAAGTTACAATATATGATTTAAACTCCTTTTCAGACTGGGCTCACTATAATGCTGTATCTCAACTTTCAAACCTAACACAATTTAATTCCTCAACTGTGTCCATTATAAGCAATCTTCCAAAAGTGCATTTTATATACTTCAAGTCTTTATTTTTCTTCAACTGGATAATGTTTGACTTAGTTTACTATTTTTTGTTGTATTGTTACAGAACTCTTGAACAATGGAAACTATATTTATAAGCATTTTGTTCGAATGTAACTTTTAGTTTTCAAATCACACATTTGTTTTAATTCTAACTAGTAGTAAAAGTACTTGGAAGTGGTAGGCTTAAAAAACAATGCTATAAATGTGAATGTGAACCAGCCCCTTCCACTATTTTGAGTAACAGTACACAAACGTTTTGTTTGAAGTACCTATGCTGCGAGTGGCATTAAACATCACTTTCGTTTAGCATCATTCCTAGCATTAAGTTGGTAACAAATTTAAATTACTTCCAAACCCAAACTATTTGTCCATTTAAACTCTGTGAAGCTGGTTCAGCAAGCTCTTCACAACAACTTCTGACATAACACCAGACGGACAACTCTGCTTTATATATATTTTAATTAAGCAGTTTAAATATCTTTCAATCTTTGTTCTATCTTGTGGGCATGTGTATAATAAATATAACATTATAATTGGCAATTTTATCAATAAAAAAAACTTTTTTGCTTGTCACCATAATAATCATAGTAAAATTAGAATAATTTAGTGTAAAGATGGAAATCTGAATTTCAACTATGTGTATCTATCATAAAAGGTGAAAAAAATGTTGCCCACAGTTTAATGTGACCAATGAATATTTCAAAGTGTGTAAAAAACCATAAAACATTTTTTTGTTCCACAATATTAAGGCTTAAACAAAGCATCTAGATCTCAGTAATGTAATGTGCAAGGCTTAGTAATATAAAAGCTGCTGAAAAAGAAATTAATAATATTGTTTAAAGATTTGGACTTTGGAGATTTAAATTTCCTAATGATATATATGAATTAATTACTTATGTGTGATATACATGAATTTACTATTTACTTTATAAAACATATAAATGTAACTTACAATAGTAAAAGTTAGTATCACTTAATTATAATAAACATTTTCCATCTATTGAGTCATTTAATAAAAAGAAAGGAATAAGTTAATTATCATGCTCCTTATGACACTTGTAACAATAATGTTTGAAGAAGAATTCAACGTTCAATAAATACCTCCTCACAAAACTTAATCTTAACTTATGCACTTTTGTTGGATTTTATTCACAAGAAAAAAATTATCCCATGCAATGCAAGATCAAATTTTACTACACACAACAAGCAAGTTAATAACAAGTTTACCATTGTATGTCTGCTATCAAAAGCTACCTGAAACTTCCTGAAATATGTGTGTCAAATTATTGTCAATCAGCTACATTAATGTAGTTGGTAATGTTTTTGCTGGATTTCTATTAGTAGCAAACTCTAAAACATATTCTATTACTTTGATTTCAAAATAGCACCTTTTAACAGTAAGAGATGTTATTACAAATATATCAGTGCAACAAGTTCTGTGCCTTTATTTCCACAAATACTCCAACACCAATTTCATACATGTAAACTACTTACAAGATGACAAAAATAACTAACATGAACAATTTCATACAGATATATATATATATATTAGGGGTAATAACAAAAACAATTACACTAAAGATGGAAACAACTCAGAAAAAGAATCTTCCCAAGAAGAATCATCTAGCAGACTATTTAACTCTGAAGAACTGCTGTCACTCAAAGGTGAAGAAACAGAAAGACCAGAATCATATCCTGGATCACTCCAAGATGGTGATGTTTTCATTTCCAAAGAGTCCAGGGTATCTAAATGACTAACAGTTGAACATACAGGGAAAATATCTTCTTCAGCAATATCTACAAAATTGTGGTTAACAACAATCTCTGACAGTTTGTCTATTGGAATGTCCATAGCTTCAGAAGATGAAACAGTATGCTCGGAGTGTCCTTGGTTAGCTTTACCATCTGCATCCATTGAAATTGAGTTATCAGTAGAATTAAAAGCACAATTATCTTTTGCAGGATCTTCAGCCACAGGTGACATAGTGTCAACACTGGACTTCTTATAGTAAACATGATCAAATTTGATCAGTTCTTTGATGGATTCCAACTTTTCTGATGTGGGCCCCACCACTTGACTGCTGGGTTTGCTTCTTTTATTCTACAGCAAAAACAGTGACTTATAAATTTAGTCCCTTTCATACTTGAAATGTAAATAAAGTGCCAATATTAGCTCAAGCAACATGATGTTAAGAATTTAAAGACAACAGAAGTTTTAGTTATGTTATACTAAACAAAAATGTACATTTTTTGCATAAAAAAAAAAGATTAGAACTACAACAAACCAGACTTTGAGTAATACTGACTTTTTTTTTTCTGAAACGAAACTACTTACAACAATTTCTACTACATAGTAAAGCTCTAAAGTTTGGAAATGCTGATGTATATATATTCTTAATTTGTGGTTTTATCCATGGTGTTTGTCTTAGCAACAACCAAGTGCTAGATTTCAGTTGTATACATTATCACATTAAGCTAAAATATCAAACTTCTTAATTTTTTTCCACCCTATTGATAATTAGATACTGGTATGTTCCATCTACACTTTATACTTATCAGTGCACTATACTTTTCAAAATACTGGCCTTTTCCTGTCTTACTTTTAAATTCACTAGCATCAAGTATTTATAACAAGATTACATGTCAGAAGCTTTTAAGCCAGGATTTATTTTGTTTTAGAACAGATATATATATATATATATATATATATAAATAAAAAAGACCTATAAGTCATTATATTAAATGCTTCACTGTGAACACGGGCATTTTTTCATATAAAAAAACAATCACAAATATGTTAGACTAGAAGTCTACAATGTTAATTTCAATGAACATGACAATATAAAAGAATTAAATGCACTATGCCTAACAATTATACAGGGTGGTGCAAAAGTTATCTCCCAAAGGGATTTTAGAATAACAATAAAAAAATATATATTACTTTTTTTTTTTGCTTTGCAAAATCCCTATAGGGTGTGACTTTTGAACCACCCTGTATAATCGTTCAATTGGTAATTCAATCTTGAAATAATCTTCCATTTTAAACAAACATGTCAAACAGACCTGCACAGGTTCAGAGCTGAATGAAACTGAATCTTCTGACTCAAGATTACACTGGAATAACTCTTCACTGTACTGCTGAAGCAAGTTAAAAAGTTCATCAGACTGAAAAAAAAAGGAAAATAATAAACTAAAACATCATAAATTTGAAGAAAACAAGCTTAGCACATAGTTTGTTTGGATTTTTAATTTAAAAATGAATCTTCACAACTAACTTTGAATGCATAAAGTATAAAATGATTTGAATATCCTGAGTTATGTTTTAAAAAGGTGTGATTTAGAAAAAAAAATGCACTTGAAATTAAAAAAAGGTATCTTTGACAAATGTGCAGCTGCTTATACAAAATCTTCTACAGATACAACAAAAATAATAATCACAACCAGAGACTGAAATCTACAGAACCAGACTGCCTATAGCAACTCCAAATTTCACCTGGCAACAGAAAAATTCATGCAATAAAATGATATCTTTCAGTAAAACCTCACAGGCTGCGTATCAAATCACATGAGTTGGTTAGAAATTATGATACAAGTTATGTACCTTACATATAAAAATCATTACAATTCCTTTTAAAACAGTTCCATATATATATTTGTTAAAAAAATTTATGTATTTAATCAAATAATTTGATTTCCATAAAATGCTTACTAAACCACATACCACTATTTCTAAACTTTGTCTTATTTGTTTTTGTACCAAACGTCATGTACAGTTCCATGTAATGTTGGTACAAGCCGAGTACCATAGAGCCTTTTTTTTCCATATTACAGTATTATTACTTTAATAACTCCTTATTGTACTAAAAACCTTCATTAACGAATACATAATAGATTAGGAATGATTTGTGATTAAGACCATAAAATATTGCAATATCAGTACTTTTTACAACCTTTAGTTGACAATAAAAATAATACTATTGTCAAATTTTAGTAAATTACACAGAAACTTTTCTCTATTAGCAGCATGTAGTAAAATTGTAACTTATGAGCTGATCAAGCATTGTGTGGTTATACATTAGTATCAAGGGATGTAGTTGTGTCACTATGTACCTCATCTGACAGCAGTGACCATTTACGTGGTTGATCACTACTTTGCATCCCCCTTGAACTAACTACAAAGCCACAAAATAGAAAGTGTCCCTGTGGGTAAGTGTATTAATTCACATAATGTACAGGGTACAGTATACTTACTCCTGTGAAACCTCACCATGCAAACCATACAACTATGTCCTCTAATGCTGCTTGATATAAAGACTTAGTGTAATCTGTTTGTTACATAAAAATAGTTAACTTACACACTTCATGGGTTATACAATATATGATGATTAAAGAAACACTTTTATAGCAGTAACCAATGTACACACAGGGAGACATACAACTCTTGATTTGCCTTTTTTACAATGATTAGGGGGAGGGATCAACCCAGTTCCTCTTCTAATTAGTAAGCTTTTAAATTAATCATTAAAACACAAACTCTGACTCAGAATGGTGAAATGTTATTTGATCAGTGTATGTACTTTGCGTGATCTATGGGTCAGAATCCTAATGGATCCCATATAAGGGTTAGATATTAGCAGCCAATTGTAGTTTAACATTCCTTTGCCTACTTATATGTATTATGTGATTTGTAAATAAGTGTATATTTGTTCTAATCCCTCTTGCATTTGTAGTTCTATTGGAAATAAACATTCATATAAGAACACAGTGCAAAGAGAAACAAAAACACTACAAACAAGAGATAAAAAGAGGTCAAATTAGAAGAGAAAACTTTATCATGCCTGGTATATAACAGCTTTCTAGTTTGTGTGTTTATATAAAGTTAGCTGTTACTTTTATAAGAATATCGGGCAAAACAACAACTGCAAATATGTAATTAACATTGTTGAAGTCGAAAAGTTTTGAGTCATAAATATGTTTATTAAAGATACAGTCCGGGAATAAAAAAATTCAATAATTATACAATAAAAGAAATTCCTCAATCAAAATAAAAAAAGACTTTTATTAAAATTCCTTGGTTGTATATTAAGATATTACCAAAAGGAGATAAGCACATACTACAGTAAAAACTTATAAACATTTAATGTATCATACACTGAAATGTATATTTTTGACTTTTGCTGAAAGAGAGACAACCAACAATAAAGAAAAAAATCTGTTGTTATCAAGTCATTCTACTTGTACAAACTTTTAACAAAAATTATTTTTTTTAAACATGAAATATAAAATACAAACCTTATCATCACTGGCAAGAAGACATATTGCATCATCAAGAGAATAGAAATCAGTAGATCTTGTTCCTTCTGCAGAGGACCATTAATGAGCGATGCATGCTTCAAAGATCCACTTAAGTCCTTCCCTTCAACGATACACTTCTTTTCCTGAAGTGATAATCAAATACTATATTGATGTTGTTTTTTCATTTGATATTCACAGTTTGTAGCTATTAGTCCTCTATACAAATTCTTGATAAACAGTACATAAATATCCTGTTGCACATATGCACATTCATACAGATTATTTCACAAAGCTACATTGCAGATTCATCTGAAAAAATTAGTCCCATTATCTAAACAGATATAATAAACCACTTTCTTAATTAAAAAACTGAATTTGGTGAATAATACTTTACATTCCAATGACATTTCCTCACTACAAGTTGATATAAAATAAAATTTCTGGTAACATTTTTATTCAGATTAAAAAACTGAATATGGTGAATAATATTTTAAAATCTAGAGAGTTTTTACTCACTACAAGTTGATATAAAATAAAATTTCTGGTAACATTTTTATTCAGATTAAAAAACTGAATATGGTGAATAATATTTTAA